AAACAATAGCATAATTTCAATAACTTTCGCAAAAAAAAAAAAAGCAGTAATAAGGAAGAAGATAGGGTTCAAATGAAGCCAATTTGTCTTTGATATGCAACCAGCAATAAAAAAAAAAATTCTCACCAAAATGCGCTGTCAACTGATGGGGATAAACCCCACTTTATAAGCTGTGAGCAAAAGGTGTGAAAAAAAATTTGAACATTTTTAAAGGGCTTGATGTGGGGTTGGATTAAATCCACAGTTTTTTCACATCTATGTGAGAAATTCGAACTTTGGTGTCAGTTCTTTGATTTTGATTTTTCATGTCTGTAAACTTATTTAATTTTTTACTATTTTTTATTATTTTTCATGTTTTTCTCATTGCTTATTAACATATAAAAAACCTGATATCATATGGGCATTAGATTCTGAGAAATGGATAAAAATATTAAAAATTGATGGGTGTATGAATAATTTCATCATTGACTATATAAATATGTGTGTGTGTGTGTGTGTCTGTGTTTATATACTTTAAGGGGTTAATGTGCATTGTAATATTGTATTCCTTCTGGGGATGGGCAGCAAACTTGAGGGCAACCTCGGGCAGCAAAAACACTAGCTATGTCACTGATATTATGTAGTAGTTCAGCACTTTTTCTTTATTTCAAATGAATTTTTCCTGTTTCTTAATGCTTTATTTAGTTTTTGGAAGGCATCTTTTGCTATTCCACCTTCAGATTACAGTGTCACATTTTCTGTCATACTTCCAAAAATTTCTTCACTTGCTTGGTTTTGACATCTCCATTTCATAAAAAAGACTGTCCCTTTTGCTAACAACCATACATCGTCTTCTTACAATAGATGGCTAGTCTCCAAGTTTTTGTTCCCTTTGCTGTGACCAGACTGAACTCATAGCTAAAATAAAAGTAGATAAAAGTGTTGGTTGTGTAATCTAAAAAGTGACTTGACCCAAAGAATTTGGGGTTCAAGCAGAGGTGAGCAAAAACTTAGAGAGTCGAGTTACTAAAAGGAATTCGCTGAAACTGATATCCCAAAAAAGGCATGGCATGTAGAATTAGAACAATCTAACACTTAGACTAAATAAAGGGTTCGATTTGAAATTCCAGTGTATATCACTTGAAGAAGTGTACAATGGCCAAAACGTTGTGAATATGGAAATAAAGATGAGGGCAACAGTCTGAACAAAGTAAACAGTATTACTAACCTATTTCATCCTAATTTTGTGAAGATCCACATGTAAACAGAGATTCAGTTTTCTTTCATATTCAGGAAATTCTTACATGATGTAACTTGAATTTTTTGAAGCAGCAGTTATAGTGCCATGTATCAATTTTCCATTTTTAGAACATTGAAACAAGTACAGTAAGACAGTATTTCGAGTATCATATTTCGTTTTGGGTTTTGCCTTAAATTTCTACTCATGGCTGATATTTTCTGCGTGAACAAACATGGCAGGTGCAATTTTTTAAATTTCAGTTTTTCCCTACCTTTGAAAAATTTGCTTTAAGACACTTTGTTGATTCTAATCATGCTAGGAGTGACTACAAAACACTTTTCCTTCCCCAATTTATAGGCAGAAACACAAATGCATGCTGGGATTTCTTCATAGCCAATAAAATAGACTGGTTCACGGTTTCATCTGACTTAGTCCCAGTCTTGTCTTGAAGTCAGAACACTACATTAGCTTATCCAAATTTGTTTGTGTACATTTTGCCTTATTACTGTTAATTTGCCTTGCATATATTGTTTGCTTGCTTTATATTATCTATTTCCCTGTTCTTTTCTTGTTGTTTATTACAAACTTTGTCAATTTTATTTGTTAGACAATTCTGCCACTTATTTACATTTAACAATGGCCACTCACTCTACTACACTTCATTTTTTTAAATTTATTCTGTTAGAATCAAACCTAATAACACAAGGTTGGCATTGGGACAAATAGACATGGTCTTTAGTAAATGTTGCATATACTTAGGTTTTGTTGTTTATTGAGCTCTGAATGAAGAGTGATAACTGGTTAGCCCCTCCCTTATATATATATATATATATATATATATATATATATATCCCTTTCTGATTGTTAGAAGCAGTTTCTTTGTATTATCTATTCTCCTTAAAACTTCCTCATTTCTCACATGCCCTGTCCATTTTATTCTCGATATTCATTGACAGAGCCACATCAATTTTGCATTTAGTCTTTCTGATTGTTAGCAGCAGTTTCTTTGTAGTTCTTATTTTCCTTTTAAACTTCCTCATTTCTCACATGCTCTTTCCATGGTATTCTCAATATTTGTTGGTAGAAGCACATCTCTGTTGCTTCTAGTCTTTCTGATTATTAGCAGCAGTTTCTTTGTGCTTCCTATTCTCCTTAAGACTTCCTCATTTCCCACATGCTCTGTTCATGGTATTCTCTCTCTTTTTTTTTTTTCATTTGTAGTGAAATTGCGCTTCTTTCATTGTCATATAGGAAGACAGTGTAGCACTCTTTTCTGACACTGTCCTTTAACACTTTGCTGCTTCTTTTGCTTTTTCTATTAGCCTTATGGATTTTTGTTACACTTTCTTATGTAGAATGTGACATGAGGGGGTCAAGGTGTTTATCAGCTGCTGTTGCATTTCCTATCTTTATTTTTCAATTCTAATTTTTACTGAACCAAACTCTACAGGCATGGCGCATACACACACATCACAAAAACCCTAAGCATTGGTGAAACTAACACAAAGCCTGCCAAATAACCAAAGGATAAAGTTAAAAAAAAAAAAAAGAAAAACTAACAGAAGAAAAATCAAGAGATTAAACTGGTAGAAGAAAAAGAGAAAAAGAAACAAAGAAAAAGGAAGAAGTAAGAAGAAAAGGCCAACAGACAGACACCTACCTAAAAAGTAATATACAGTGTTCGATGCCTAAATTACCAAGACAAAGCAAATATGCTTCCCAGTATCAAAACTGAGAAAGAGAAATTTTGGGCTGCTACTTAAGTTTCATCTTACTATAAGCATCAGGAAACCATATATATATATATATATATATATATATATATATATATATATATATATATATATTAATTGATTTAAAATATGGTTTTTCTGCTACACAGTTCTAATTAAAGACATTAGTTCCATTTCATCCTCAAGCGAATTCGCTTGAGGATGAAATGGAACTAATGTCTTTAATTTAATTACAAAATTAAATTCGGACCTTCCATTTTTGAAACATGCTTAGAACTGTGTAGCAGAAAAACCATATTTTAAATCAATTTATAATATTAATGCTCTGTAAATTTACATTGAGCACTATTTTGTAAAAATAAAAATATCTATAAGAACACTAGATTATATATCTTACTGTTCTTTTTTTTTTATATATATATATATATATATATATATATATATATATATACATACACACAGACAGACAGACACAGAGTGTAACAGCAAAATTGTCTAATTGTTACATTAATCTAGGAACTGTTAGAAATCATTGAAGATATCTGATTAGAATTCTTCAATGTTTTTATAACACCATTGGACTCTACTTTAAACAATAAGAATGTATTTAGCTCTAAGTTGAAATGATGATCGTTCTTCCTGTTGCAGCCTCCCAATTCAGTTTTTCTCTCTACTGTTCCCTCTTTGTTATTCACTGTTCTGTTGATGGTCCTTGAATGGACTTTGAAGATGGCAGCCAGAGTAAATATTGGTACCATTACTGAAGGCCTGAATGATCTTTTTCCTCTCACCATTGCTCAGTTAAGAAGACATAGTGGAGTTGACACAAAACGATTTTAACCTGTTTCATTTTTAGCCAAATACCTCAAAGGGTTTTTCAGTGATTCTAACAATAAATGGTTTCAAGATGGCTAAATGTCTCATCTGAAAACCTATTAAACATTTTGTGGAATGGACAATTATCCCATGCTGTTACACAATTTGGACAATTTTGCTGTTACACCCAGTGTGTGTGTGTGTGCGTGTGTATATATATATATATATATATATATAAATAAATAAAGATTTGTACAGTGAGAATCTAATCAGCCTGGTCAAGGACAATAAGCACCTGCACCTGCAGAATTCAAGAGACTGACACCAAAAGAGTTTAAAAATAGTTCTTGAAAGAAAATATGCAAAGTTATGAAGAGTGAGAAGCAAGTGCATTCCCAGAATGAAGCCTTTTAAAGTTCATTGCTACGTTTTTATGACAACCTAGTTCTATTATTATTATTATTATTACTGCTGTTAATGCTACAACCAATAGTTGTTGTTGCCACCCACAGTGAGACAAGCATCTTTCGTTATGTCATGCAGACAACACGTGAGTATGAAGATATTGTTAAACTTTTGTTTATTGAATACAATTAACAACAATTGCTGGTCTACTTGAGAAAATTGTCTGTGTTTTACCTTGAACATTCTAGGTTGGTTTTTAAGTTACATCAAATACAGTTTTTTTTTTTATGTGTTATGATTCATTTTTTTTTACTTGCTTCAAATTAATTGAAATTTCAGCAATTTTCAGATGAGAAATTTAAAAGTAATTTCCAACTCAAAACAGAAAGTTATTACTTTCATACTCTAAGAATATTTGATAGGAAATTCTTTTATCCAAAAGTTGTTTTTCAGTGATTATCCTTCAAAGATATTAACAAAAAAACAAAAACAAAAAAAATAAATAAAGTTTTTTTTTTGCTGTTCTCACATAGGTCCCTAAAAGCTGCATGACATTGAAATCCAATTTGATCTAATATATCTGATAACAGCAACCTATCTGATAAAGCTGACAATTTTTTAAAATCATTTCATACCAAGCATTACAATAAAGCCACTAAGACACAAAGGGTTACAGAGCATGAAAGAAGATGAGAAAAAAAAAAAAAAAAAAGCAGAGAGAGAATAATAAAAGAACAGTATTTATGCATAAGTGAATATAATGAACACAACTGGAACTTGGGTCTCTGATTTACAATTCTGAAGCATTATCCTCCCACACATCAAAGCTTACAGCACCTGGTATTCCCAAATGTTCACCCATCTAGGTACTAATCATGCTCAATGTTGCTTAACTTTCATGATTGTATGAGAACTGGTGTTTCAACATGAGATGGCCATAAGCAAACTTTTCAGTAATGTTAATTTGATAGTTGTATGATTGTGATGAAAAGGTTTTAGATTTACCAAGAAACCCTTTAAAAATTCAAAATAAATAAATAAAAATTCTAATGTTCTTTTAAAAAATTGGTATAACCCCATGAAATGGAGTACAGCCATTAGCACCCAAGGGGTTACAGGGTGTGGAGAAATTAAGAACAGAAACATTAGTAATGAGTAGAAAGAGAAAAGAGCAATCAGGAGGACAGTAGATAGTTATTGACATTGCATTTAAATTTTTTGCAGATTAAAGTTGGCTGGAAAGCCTAGAGCCAGAAGGGAGTTCCACAAGTGAGAAGTGCGAGAAAAGAAACTGTTAACATACATCTAGCTAACTCAACTGTAAATCGGTGAGATCTCGCTACCAGTCTAGTATTGCAATTATATTCATACAGTCTAGGTACCATAGTGAAGAACTCATCCGAACAATTACCATGAAAATATTTATAAAAAAGGCACAGAGAGGCAACTTTATGGCAGTGAGAAAGTGACTGAAGCTGAGCCACCAGATTAGGACCAATAATATTGCTGATTCTTCTTTGGATCATATCAAGAAGCTCCAGGTAAATAGCAGGGGTGCCAGGCCATATATGACAGCAATATTGTAAGCATGGATGAATGGTAGACTTATAAATATGCAAGATAGATTACAGAGAGAAAAATTGTCTCACCTGTCATAGTGAACTGAATTTCATAGCAGCTGACCAAGTAATGGATTCAATATATTCTTTCCAGGTCATGTCAGCTGAAAACGTTAGCCCAAGAAGGCACAATGAGTTACTTTCCTGAGGATAGCTTCAGCCATGCTTGATGGAAGGCAAAGGGTGTTCTCTTAGATTATTCATATTTTGTGAAGTAGACTGAACCAAAAAATTTTCAGCACCTACTCAATAATCCTATTTTATTTTATTTTCTTAAAAGATAAAATTAGATGGCTCACTTTATGTACAAAATAAAGAAAATGTTTTATTTTATGGGTTAAAAAAAATGGCTGAAAACTTCCTGGTCATGTTTTTTTTTTCTTGCATTCATTAAAAATGACAACAGATCTGAAATGAGGACAGAAAACATCTTAAAGACAAAAGTGAAAAGTTTGTCAGACAGAGAAAAAAAACAGGTTAATCAGTGAAGTGCCATATATCTTGTTTTTGTATTGCAATCACACAATGAAAGAAACCACATTTCTCTCATGCACACAGGTATTGATATATTTAAATTTATGACATCTACTTGGAAAAAAAAATATATATATATATATATATATATATATATATATATATGTGAGTGTGTGCGACCAGTCACTGAAAATGCCTGATTTTTAATCTCAAAAAAAAAATTACCTGTGTATAGTGTAACTCCCTATATATTGTATAAAAAGTCAGTTATGTGCCATGCGTGATACATGCTTAGGCGATCATGTATCTTTCGATACATGACTGACGAGGCAGATTTTTTTCCCTACAGTAGGTTGTCATTCCTTTCTGCAGTAGACCAGTTGCCATTGAAGGCTATAGAACCCAGTCTGTCCTACTGTTTACCTATAGCTGGCGGGGGGGAGAAGAAAAGTATTCATACCTTTTCCAAGGGTATTAGCATGTAAGTAAAGGTAATGGATTTGACTGGAATTTGAACTTGGCTGTCTGATTCCTCAATCCAAACCGCTATTCATTACTCCACTGTAAAAAACTGATCATAAAAATTTTCACTATAACTTGCATTATATGGTAATAATAATAATAGCCTGTTTAGGGTAATGATACCTTAACTGCCTTCCCAGAACTACCCTTAGAACCTGACACTCATCTCCATGTATCACTTAATTTTGGTTTGGTTTGTTTTGTTTTACAGCATATCAACCTCAATGGGTTATTTAATGCTGACAACATTTTTTATTGCTATAGAAAATAGAAATCTATTTCTGGTAATATTTTTCCTCAAAAATGTATAGCTGGTAATATTTTTTCTTCAAAAAACATATTATTAATAATTTTTTTTTTTTTTTACAAAGTATTTCTGCTATTAAAACCTATTTTACACAGTGTTTTTTACCCCAGTTTCAGGGTTAACTATTTGCCCATAGCTTGAAACCTAACTGATGCTACCACCCTGGATCAGAGTGGACCTGGGAACACCGGCAATTAAGAGGTGGTTCCACGCTCCTCAAAACCTCCTGATCAGAGGACTTGCTGCTGGACATAGTTTATCATCTTACCCAAGATGCAGATGTAGTTTATCGTCATACTCAGGATGGACTTAATTTTGAAAATGTGTGAAGTTTGCTTTTGGCATTACTAAAGAGATAGCTGAAAATTCTAGGACATATAATGAGGAGGGAGGGCTTGGATATTGAGTTATTAATCATACTTATTATGAAACCCAGATTGTGTGTGTGTGTCTGTTCGTTTATATATTGGATCAGATTTCCTACATTTTTCAACCGATTTCAACAAAACTTCACAGGACTATGTAAAATTACCTTGCAGTGGTTCTGACAGCGCAAAAATTGGAAAAACAATTGTTTTTGCATGAAATCAATTTGAAAACACGATTAAGAGGCATCACTGTTGCGAGAATGAAAGGGGGACAACTCATATCAAGTTATACTTATTATAAAACCCAGGTTGTTTGTGGGTGTGTGTGTGTGTTCATTTATATATGGGATCGGATTTCCTACATTTTTCAACTGATTTCAACAAAAATTCATTTTTTTTTTTTTGGCAGGTAGTGTTTCTTATTGTCTTGCACACTTTTTTCTTTATTTTTACATTCAGAATGATTTAAAAATTCTATTTACAAGGCAATTGTTTATAATAAAATTCTATTCAATCAGTAGACTCATAACGATTGAAAACAATGTTTTTGTTTGAGTTTGACCAATTTGTAAAAAAAAAAAAAAAAAAAAAAAACTAATTAAGACATGCGTGTCCGTCAACCTTAAACAATAATCTTTGTCAATTTTATTTTTCAGTCTTTATGATGGTCGATACTTGATCTATCTCTTACTGTTGCAACGCCGGGCTCTACTGCTAGTAATGGTATATAAGAAAGTAATTTTCAGTGACGAGTGTACCTAATAACAGTCTGTAATCATATTTTAATGTTGAGGATGAAATAAAACATTCTCATTTCTTCATCTCAATACAGACATTGTTTCAGAAGAAATTAGGTCTCCAAACATGGCTCATTCACATCCTTTTTGTTTTCACTTAAGGGAGAAGCAAGGAGATAAATATGGCAGAGCTACTAAGAATAGGATGTTGTGAAGAGCCATGCCCACATCTTGCAGGGTCACAGCATATAAAAGTATTTACTATACAACAATAGTAAAAATAATAATTTTGTATCAAGACAAGAATACTAAAAATAGATTTAATGTCTTTTCTCTTATGTTCGACAAAAATGCCACTTAACCTGAATTATTAAAACCAGAACAATTTCAAGTGATTAAAAATAAAAGAAATATAAGTTTGTTGTAAATTAGTAAAATAAAGATAGTTCATTTATTCTTTATCCACCTTGGATTGGATCTAGAGTAATGGCCAGGGAATTTGGAATTTATTTATCCTCAAGTCAAAAAGATTTTTTTTTTTTATTGGTGGATTTTTTCTTTATCAAAATGTGCCACTGAGCAGCATAGAGATACTATAAATATAAAGACATGCATGGGCACCCTGAGGCAGTGCAATGGTTAGCAAGCTTGTCTTGCTAGAACAATTACAACTGAGTGGTGAGTTCAATCCTCACTGGGTGCCCCATACGTTTGGCCTTGTACCACACCTAAGCTACACTTAGAAAATCATTTACTGAGTGGTGAGTTCAATCCTCAATGGGTGCCTCATACTTTTGGCCTTGTGCCATACATTTAATCTACACTTAGAAAATCACTTACCGAGTGGTGAGTTTGATATTCACTGGGTGCCTCATACTTTCTACCTTGTGCCACACCTAAACTACGCTTAGAAAATCATTTACTGAGTGGTGAGTTTGATCCTCACTGGTGCCTCATACTTTTGGCCTTGTGCCACACACTTAATCTACGCTTGGAAAATCACCATATAAAGACATACATAGTTCTTATATGATGCCAGTCTGTTCAATGATCAATCCCAAATGAAGGCGTAATTTTGAATGCAGATTTTTTTTAAAGCGATCAAGTTTGTCTTACCTGGAAATCAGTGCAATACAAAAACCTGTGCCAGATTATATTTTGTGAAGGTGTTTATTTTGATATATATTTTTGAATAGCTTCTTTATCCAAAATATACACACACATATAGAGTTAAAATCATTATTATTATTAATTGGCAAATTATTATAAATATACAGGGTGCGATGGATAAATTGTCATCAAAATTATGACAAAATGAAAATAACACTGACATCTCATTTAAACAGACACATTTACCAAAATTACACAAAAATATCTTGGAATGCTAAAGAGTAAATCTATTCAATAAAATCGCCATTGGCTTTAAGAATGACCTCCAGATGACTTTGGAATCTCCTGCAACTATTCTGGACAGTCTCCTTATTTAAGTTAGTGAATGCTGCCATAATCCTTGCCTTCAGTTCATCTTTGGTGTTACAAGGAATTTTGTTGATCTTTCGCTCAACTGAGCCCCAAACATAATAATCAAAGGGCTTGCAGTTTGGGGAGTTAGGTGGACAGATGTAAGATGTGATTGCAGAAATTGTCTGACAGCCATGACTAGGTTTTCCAGCTTGTGTGGCATGGTGCAGAGCCCTGTTGCCAGATATATGGTCTGCCAGAAGCCACCCTCTTGACCCAGAGCAGCACTACCTGCTGAAGGCACTTTCTGCACACCTCCATGTAAAGTCAGAGACCCTCATCAACAAATTCGATCAGGGTGAGCTTTCCAAGCTGCCGTACCTTCATAATCACCATTAGACTCATCCAACTCTTTCTAAATCCTCTGCATCATTCTCAGATTGGCACCCAAA